CTACTACTACTACTACGACTACTACTACTTCTACTACTACTACTACTACTACTACTACTACTACTACTACGATTACCACTACCACTACTACTACTTACTAGGACCACTAGTACGACGACTACTACGGCTACTACTACTACTACAATTACTACTCCGAATGCTACTAAAATTACGACAAGAGTGCTACTACTTTTGCGACCACTACCACTACCACTACTACTACTACCACTACTACTACTAATACTACTACTTCTACTACCACTGTTACTACTACTGCTACTACTACTACTACTACTTCTACTACTACTACTACTACTACTACTACTACTACTACTACTACTACTACTTCTACTACCACTACTACTACTACTACTACTACTACTACTACTACTACTACTACTACGACTACGACGACTACTACTACTACTACTACTACTACTACTACTACTACTACTACTACTACTATTTCTAAAACTACTACTACTACTTCTAAAGAACAAGGGCACCATCGACACCGAAAATGCCCTCCGCCGTCGGCGCCGCCAGTCCCGTCGGGGCCGCCAGTGCCATCGAAGCCTCTTCTTCGCGGTGGACTGCATGACCGTGCACGCCTCATCCACCGAGAACGCGTCGTCCAAATTGTTAATGATGCTCGACGCGTGGGAAGCATGCCAGCCCCGTCTCGGCGCTACTGCGCGGTCCTTGACCGCCTGAGGCAGCGACTCCGCGTCATTCCACGGTCCTGCTGCGGTCGCAAGGAGTGTTCAGAGGCCAGGGCGAACACGCCACCAGCAAGTCGTGAACAATCTTCTACGAAACCTCCCTTGGCAGCATCCTTCAGAATTGGCTGTGAGCATCCGTTGCCACTCCATAGTCGGAGCCGTCCTGCGCCAGCTTCTTGTTGTACTGGTCGCGAAGTTCTGTGGGCGTCAAGGTCTTGTAAGCCACATTCACTTGCTGTGCTCTTCTGGCCCACCGAAAGCGGCCTGCTCCGCGCGCGAACGCCAGGCGTGCCAGGCGCGCTGCGGTACCAGGTGTGCCAGGCGCGCGGCCCGCAAGGGCGCGGGGCGCTGGCGTGCCAGGCGCGGCGGGCATTGGCGCGCATGGCGCGCGGCCCGCATGGGCGGCTGGCACTGGCGCACCTGTCGCGCGGCCCATAGGGGCGCCAAGTTCTGTCGAGCGGCCCCCCTGGGCGATGCTCGCGGAGTTGCCGCGCGAACAGCGCGCGATTCGGTCGGCCCCGACGACGTAATTCTCCATGTCCTAAAGATCGCCCAACAGATTAACGGGGAACCTCTTATACCCCACCCCGACAGATTAACGGGGAACCCCTTAATTCTCACCCCCCTGGATTAACGCGCGCCTCCTTAATCGACCCTATTGAGGTCGTCAGATGCGGCCACCTGGTACTTATCTAAGCCGATTGAAATCCTCGGCGAGCATGGTTTTGGCGTCGGCGACGTAGCTTCGGCATCGGCGACGTTTTCAAAGTATCATCTTTGTTTTACGACAGCGGCGTTCGTTTAGTCAGAAGCCGCGCGGCTTTTCTGAATCCTGGGCAGGTGCTTCGGTGCGTGTCTGAAGCTGCGCCTTTGATCCAGCGTCGTCGGTCGGCGCGCTGCGATGGCGGTGCCGATTATGCCTGGAACCTGGCAGCGTTTCGCAATCATTTGCCAAGTTGTTTGGGATCAGGCGCGGCCCATCAACGATCTACCGCAAAGGGCAGGGCGTTTCAACCTCGGAGCGTTTCGATCGTCAGCCCAGTAGCTGGTTTGAAAACCGCCACGCGCATCGAGCCGAGATGTCTCGGCGTCTGTTTTCGCTCGGTCGCCTCGACCGCTGCGCGGAATGGCCCAAAGCCAGTGGGCCGAGAGAAGGGCAACGCCTGAATTCATTACAGACTTGCCGATAAAGCACAACGACGCCAACGTTGCCGTCGCAGCCGCTTGAGCCTAGGCACGGGCGAGCCAAAATGGCAACAGGCAAGGAGGATGAGGAGGAAGAGGAGGAGGAGGAAGAGAGGAGGAGGGGGAGGAGGAGGAGGAGGAGGAGGAGGAACAGGAGGAGGAGGAGGAGGAGGAGGAGGAGGAGGAGGGAGGAGGAGGAGGAAGAGGAGGAGGAAGAGGAGGAGGAGGAGGAAGAGGAGGAGGAGGAACAGCAGGAGGAGGAGGAGGAGGAGGAGGAGAGGGGTTGAGAAGGAGGGCGATGAGGAAGAGGAACAGGGATGGCTGAGTGCGTGTTTTGTTGTTGGGGCCGAGGGGGGAGGAGCAGGAGATCATAGAGGGGCGTGGCAGGAGATCATAGAGGAGGGGCGCAGACATGGATGGAAGAGTTCGCAATGACTCTGACTCGATCGCACCCCTGGCCGCTCCCTGGGCCCGCCTCGCGCCCCAGGCCTGGCGGCAGCGATCTCTGAAGCGAAGCCTGCTCCCCCACCCCCGCCCTTGCGAGGAAGACGCCCGTGGCCAGTGGGGAGTTCTAAAACATCTTACTCCCCCCGGTGCCTTCGCCCTGATCTTCCTCCTCCTTCTCCTCCTACTCCTCGTGCTCCTCTTCCTCTTACTCCGCCTCCTGCCTCCTCCTCCTCCTCCTCTTCTTTTTCCTCCCCCTCCCCCTCCTCCTCCTCCTCCTCCTCCTCCTCCTCCTCCTCCTTTCCTCCTCCTCCTCCTCCTCCTCCTCTTCCTTCTCCTCCTCCTCCTCCTCCTCCTCCTCCTCCTCCTCCTCCTCCCCCTCCTCCTCCTCCTCCTCCCTCCCCGCTCGCTTTGATGGCGGAGGCGGGGGAGGCGACGTCGACGGACCTCGCAGCCTGTCCTCAGTCCTCGGTGCCCTTGCTGTCGCGGCCGTCGCCGACCCCCGCGGGCGCCTTGGAGCTGTCCTCGGGGCCCTTCTCTGCGTCGAGCTTGGAGCCGTCGCCCTTCTCTGCGTCGAGCTTGGAGCCGTCGTCGTCCTTCACGCCGAGCTTGGAGCCGTCGTCGTCCTTCTTCACGTCGAGCTCGGGCTTGACCTCCCTCTGGATCGCATCGCACAGTTTGGGCAGCTTGTCTGAGATCTTCTTCCACGGATTGCAATCTTTCCGCAAGGAGGCGTGCTTCGCCAGCGAGTCGATGATCATTTTCCAGGTTTGGACCAAGGGACCATCAGCCGCCACGTTGAGCTTATTGAGCGCAGGGATCTGGGAGACGACGCACCCCCCCTTGGTTGCGGTCTTATAGAATGGCACGAATGCCGCAGGCACCCAGAGGAGCTGGCCCTTCTCGAGCACAATCCATCGCAAGCGATCGCCAAGCATCTCGAGCGTGCAGCCTTCCAATAGGGTAATGAGCTTGGCCAAATCGTCCATTTCTTGGCCGTCGCCCTGGATGAGCTGCGCGATGTCAGCCAAGAGCACCGTGGCCTCCCCAGCGACGCAGTAGACTACCTGCGGCAGGCCCGCCAAGCCAGTGCAGTCGAAGCCCGACCTGCACGCGTTCTCAGCGATCCCGACGTTCCAGGGGAAGAGCATGCAGTCTGGGACGCCTTCCACGACGTTGTCAAACAGCACATTGTACAGCTCCAGGTAGCGAGTAGAAGGCTCAATCGTCACGGCGTGCTGCAGGTTGCCCTTGCCGTTGGCTGCTTTGAGATGGTCGATGAGCCTCTTGGCCCTCTCCTGGAACTCCGCGTCGCAGAACTTCACGAGCTCATTGAGGTTCGTGTTCTTCGCAAGGTCGATGAGCCCGGGCCCCTTAGACGCCAGGGCCTTCGTCTCGGCATCGTCGAGCATGGGCTTCACCAAGGACGCCTTCACGCCATTCTTCGTCTCTTTCTCGATGTTGTCCAGGTGCTGGGCTATCTTCAAAGTGCAGCCCTTGTCTGTGAATCGCTTGGTTGACTGGTTGAGTCGATACCGATCCTTCGCGGCGTCGCTCTTGATTTTCTTCTGAGTCGCGGCATGGTGATCTTTGATCTTAGTCATGCTTGCGTTCAGCTGGCTGGCAAGGCGCTGAACTGTCGACTCGAGATCCGCCACCTCCTCCTGCATATCCTCGAACTTCGACGCTGGGCAGTTCGGCACGGCATTCTTCTTGTCGGAGATCTCCTTGATCGCGGCCTCGAGCTCCGTAATGTTTACCGCCACGACCTCATCAATGAGCATCTGCGGGTACTTTGCGCCGAGCGACGTGGCGAAGTTCTGCGCGGTCCTGAGGAAGCCTCCTCTCTTGGGCGGGTAGACCTCATTCAGGAGGCCCGCGATGTCGACCCCCAGCTTCTTCTTGGCAGCGGAGATCTCTGGGCCCGTCCAAACCTTCTTGGGCTTCGCCGCCGACAGCGTCTCTGCGGGCGGCACTGGCATTCCGAACGGCGTTCCTGGCGCAGCACCGGCCCCCGCGGCCACGAGCGGCGTAGCCGCCCCAGACGACGTTGCAGGCTGCCCGTCGCCGCCAACGAGAGGTGCCGGGGACAGGCAGGGCGCTGGAACGCCATGCACAAGCGGCGCGCCCCCGCGGGCTGGACCGCAGCTGTTGGAGAGGAAGTCGTGACCGAAGACGCTAAAATGATTGTCTTGGAACACCGCTGCGTCGCCACGACCCGAGGACGCGCCGCGAAAAGCTGCGCCAACACGAAGAGCTGCCTGAGCCTGGCCACCCATGTTCGCAAGCTGGTCAGACGACCCGCTCGCGGCGGATCTCACCCGCTGCATGGCCCGCTGGATGTCATCCTTGCCTTCGTGTGCCTTCTCGGACTGGATGGCCGAACTCTCCCCGACGCCCTGGATGCCCCTGTACTTCTTCGGCAGAGCAACAGGGACCCTGAGGTTCACCCCTTCGCCCTCCTTGAGGATCCTCGGGTCGTTCACGGCAGCGTCCCACTCGATTTCACACCGAGCGTCATCCCACCGCTTCCAGAACGCATGGTGGGCGCAGAACTCATCGAAGTCGAGCATGATCACGTCGTCGAGCTGCTCCTTCCTGCTGTAGGTTTCCAGGGTGTCCAAGCTTTTGGTGGCAGCGTCCCTATGCACGGCAGTCCGATAGCGGCCGTCTTCAACGACGAGGCCCAGCACTTGTTTCCGCCAGAGGGTCACGTTGTTCTTCTCCACGTCGCGCAAGTTCCTCATGTGCACCTTCTTAGCGGGATCGTGCTCCCGGGCGTCGCGAGCAAGAGCGGCGTTCTCCAGGTACCTGGCCGCGCCGCGGCACTTGTGGTGCCAGTAGACCACGTCCGCATCAGCCCCTGTGGCCTTGGTCTCGTCGTCGAAGATGTTCACCTGCAGGCGCGGGGGGGAAGGGGGAGGATGACGACGACGGTTTCAGGCCTCCCTTCCATTCTTCATTCGTCCCTCCCTCTCCTCCTCCTCCTAGTCGGCCTCCTCCACCAATCCTGCGCTGCACTTCCCTGTCGTCCTCGTCCTTCCATCCTCCGAGGCTCCGTCATCCTTCCTCCGCCTCGTCCTCCTCGGCCTCCTCCGCAAATCCTGCGCCCCTCCTCCTTGTCACCCTCATCCTCCTTGTTTTCTTATAGCCGTGGCTTGGCTCCTGGAAATTGGAGTGGTGACATTTGATTTGGCATCCATCCAGGGCTCGCCTCGAGCTCGCAGACAGGGCAGTGGTGCTTCTCGCCGTCCGGGCAGTCGGTGGCGGCCGCGGCCGCGCCCTGGCCCTCGCCGTTCGCATCTGCGCCTTCATCGTCAGAGGGGCCGAACTTCATCCGTTTCTTGTGTCTGCCACCCCCCCTGGCGCTGGCCCGCTTCCCACCGCGGGCGCCAGCGACGCCGCCCTTGCCCCTGCGAGGCGGCAACTTCTGCGGTGACCCCGCGACTCCGATGTCGTCCTCCAAATCAGCGAGGCGCACATCTGCTTGCGGTGGCCCCCCACCGAGCTCCCCGGATGCTGCCGCCATAACCTGGACCAGGAGGGTTGAGTCGACCTCTTCGGGCCGCTCGGTCGGGCCAACAAGCCCACGCCTCGACGTCTCGAGCCGATGCGCCTATACGGGCATTGCTAACGATGACCACTCCACCTGGTCAGCCGAAGTTACCCACGTCAGTCCTATGAGATACGGTGGAGATACTTCGATAAGGAACCCAGGGTCTCGTGACCAATGGGCGGCCTGCCGCGAGCCAGCCAATTCGCCTCGAAAATCGTCCATTCAGCTCTGAACTGTGGTTCTCACCGAAGCCAGCCCCTCACCTTCTCTGTTAAAAAAACCCTTCGAACAGGTACATGTTTAAAGTAGGTAAGGGTCTCTACGTTTCACCGTTTCGGGCTGAAGCCTTCAAGACCGTATACAGGGCCTCCTGGCCCGTCTTGATGTTCTGAGATGTGGTTCTCACCGAAGCCAGCCCCTTGCCTTCTCTAAAACACAGTCTCCGAAAAGGTGGTTGTTCAAAGTAGGTTAGAGCCTCTACGTGTCACCGCGTCTTGGGCGACATGCAAAACCTCCTGGGCCGCGCTGGGCGCCCTTCATGCACATAAAAACACGACCGCAATGATCATGGATAGGAACGGCATGTATCTCTGAGATGCTAGCGTTAGAGTTTTGGGACTGGCCTAGGGACCTCCCAAGACACACCTCCTAGGGCTGCAGGACGCGCCTCCCCAGAAGGGCCGCGAGAAGCAGCGACTCCCCACCAGCGGGTTCCCAGGCACGGACTGTTTGGATGACCAAATGACAGCGTTTTCTGGGCCCCCTTCTGGGGCAGTCTTGGAGGCCCGTGGCGCCACTTCTTCAAAACGCACACGTGATCCCGGATCTCCAGAGCGAAGTTTGCTCACATGATCGAACGAATCCATCAAGCCCTGGATTCACGCCGCGCCGCTGCATGATGGCGAGGCCCCGAAAACAAAAGCGCCTCTCACCTTGGCCGCCCTCGGCCTCAGCCCTCAGAGGATCGGCATCTGGCCAGGCGAGGCGGAGTGGAGACGCACCACCGCAGCCGCGAACTCCTTCGCGTATTTCTCGCTGTCCTTCATGTGCGTTTTCTTCCCAGAAGTCTTGCCATGCGTGGTGGTGTAGAGCTTTGCCAGCGGCTGACCGATCCTCGATATCGACCGCCTCAGCCCTCGAAACTTGTCCGATGTCGTGAACAACTTCAAAGGTTTCGCCGTGGGGGCCCCGAAACTGCCGAGCCATGTCGGCACCCGGATCATCCTCGCCATGTAGTCGGCCAAGAATGGTAATTCGTCGAACACCGATGACATCGGTTGCTCCAGCACGACATGGACGTCAATCAGGTTGGCAACCATCATGAGGATCATACACCGCAATGCCATTCGATTACCTTCGATGGCAGGCGGACAATGCGGGCTGCCAAGACGATTGTCAGGGAAGCGCTTGGTCACCGATCGCGAAATCCAGACGAACGAGCTGCACTGCGGCGAGAGCCAGAGCAAGCCGCCAACCTTTCGGGCGACCAGAAATCTGCACATGCACCACCCCTTGGACCCATCGCGGGCCCACTATGGGCGCGGCCCTCTCAGGGTCCTAGGGCCCAAGAGCGCCCGCGCAAACGCCTGACAGGATCGCCCACGAAGCTCCTTGTTGGTGATCCTGTCAAGTGCCTTCCCGGAGCTCCCATGGAGCGCTCTTGGAGCCCTCCTCTTGGAGCCCTCCTCTTGGAGCCTTCTCGGGCCTTCTCAGAGCCCTCAAGAGCCCGAGAGGCTCCTGAACATAACGCGACGTTGAGGTAATCATAGTCCCATGAAGTCTCCATGGCGCAACGGCCAGCGATAAATGCGCGTCATTGTCATCCTAGATCGCCTATTGCCGCCCACAGGGCGGCGAGAGGGGGCAGGCGGAGCGGGCGCGAGCCCAATCAAGAATCACTTGTTTTAACCCAGGGTCGGGGCCCCTCAGTATTCAGGATCAGGCCAAAAACTTGAGATGGGGCTGGACTGGGCGGCCCCGCCAGACGCCCTGGTTTCAGGATGGACCCCCAAATGTCCTGGGCCAAGGATGGTGTTGTCAAGGGGTCACGCATGCGCAGTTCTCCACATCCTAAGCCTTGGTCGCCAACAAGGTCCACATGTAGATCGCGAACCCCACGCTGGTCAGGATGTTGAGATGATCTGAGTCGTATTTGATGTCGAGGGCGATCGACCGCAAGCCGAGCTCTCTCATCTGCTTATCGATGCGGCCGACGCCAGCAAACTGCTCCACTGCGGAAAACAACCACCCAGACGGAGTGTTGACCCGGATGCGCAATGCCGCGCCAACCAAGCTAGTGATCGCGTCTGGCAAGGACGTTTCATTAGTCAGGTCGAAGAACGATCGTTTCAGGATATTCAGCGCCAGCACGTGGAACTCCCGAGGCATCGACTCCTGAACGAAGTGGCCGATGCGCTCGCGCGTGGTGGACGGTGCTGCAATTGCCACAGGAAGAAGAAACAAACACTTGTCTTGGATCAAGTCTGGCACGTACTTGCGGACGCCGTAGCAAACCATCTGGACGTTCACCTGCCCGCTATGAATGCACGCACTCCTCCTGAACTCCTGCTCCCACCTCCTCCGCCTCCTCTTTCTGCTCCTCCTCCTCCCCCTCCTCCTCCTCCTCCTCCTCCGCCTCCTCCCCCTCAGGCCAATTTGGTAGGGATCGCCACGTCGCCACTCGCCGAGTAGTGATCCCTACCAAAGCCTCCTACCAAAGCCTCCATTCTCCTCCTCATCCTCCTCCTCCCCATCCTGATCCTCGAAAGGTTCGACGCCATATGGGCCTACTCCGGGGCGACCTTTGGGGCCCATGTCGGGCCACCTTTGGGGCTTCATGGGGTCTCTTGGCGGATTGTTGAAACGTTGTGGACCCCCCGAGCGACCGTGTCAAGGAACGGCGGCAAGCGTTCCAAATCCGCCATGACCGCCACAGCCGACGCAATGAAGGGCGACGGCACAATGATCCCCATGTCCTCATCGCCGACAATGTCGTCATCATCACGATGGTCCCAAACAGGCGACGTCGGGGACGCTGGCACTGCGACGCAGTCGACGACGACGTCGTCGGCGCCGCCAGCCGCCATGGCGGCAGGCTGGGACCCCGCTGGGAGTCTCTTGGAGGGCTTGAATCCACAGTGGCGAGTTACACGCGCCCATGGTGTCTTAATTTTTTTGCATGGCCCCTCGGGGCTCCTGGGAGCCTCTTGGGGTCACATGACATCCTCCTGGCCTCAAGACAGCCCTGGGAGCCTCTTGGGGCCTCTTGGGGCCTCATGACAGCCCTGGGGCCTCTTGGAGCCGCTTGGGGCCTCTTGGGGCCTCTAGTCTACATAGCGATGGTTCTATAAGGCTAAGAGGTTACAGGGCTAAAGGCATATCGCGAAAACGCTGCAGGGCGATACTCAGGCAAATTTTTGAAATTTGCCTGAGCATCGCCCCTCAGTGTTTTTCGCCCTCACCCTTTTCCAGCCCTGAGGGATGAAGGCATATCGCGAAAACGCTGCAGGGCGATACTCAGGCAAATTTTTGAAATTTGCCTGAGCATCGCCCCTCAGTGTTTTTCGCCCTCACCCTTTTCCAGCCCTGAGGGATGCTGGCACCAGGACTGCGCCGACCTCTAGGACAATAAGGCAATGGGACATGGGACACCCAGAATGCTTCCAAGTGGGACAGGAAGGAACACCTAGGGGTGCCCGACAGGCCTCGGCCACGGCCGCAAAACGAAATAACAGTTCCTGTTGTAACCCCGTAATACGCTACTACTATTCCTACTACTACTACTACTACTACTACTACTACTACTACTACTACTACTACTACGACGACTGCTACTGTTACTACTACTACTATTACTACTACTACTACTACGACTACTACTACTACTACCACCACTACTACCACTACTACCACTACTACCACGACTACCACTACTATCACTACCACCACCACCACCACTACTACTACTGATACTACTGCTACTACTACTGCTACTGCTACTGCTACTACTACTGCTACTGCTACTGCTGCTGCTGCTGCTACTACTACTATTACGTGTTGCAAAACTGCGCCAAGGGCGCCAACTCAGGCGCGAGTCGCGAGTCCGCCAACTCAGCCGATGGGTGGCAGAACGCAGCGCGACGCCGTGATCGAAGGGTTGTTTCCTGAAAAAGCGTCCCCGCTCCAAGATCAGAGGGCCCGCAACAAGAAAAAGGGTACCCGCATCAAGAAAACCATAGTTTTTTCTTGTGGGGATCTTGTTGGTAACAACTTTTCTGCTTGCCGAAAAGTTGTTACCAACAAGATCCCCACAAGAAAAAACTATGGTTTTCTTGGTGCGTG